CGACAGCTAAGACGATAAGAGATGAAATTTCAGAGATTGTTAAATTTCGTATGAAACATGACGAACTGTAATATAACTATAAACCAAGTGTGCCTAAATTGAGATTAATATATTTTAGCAAAATACTTGTCCTTTTTTTGTAATTACTTAGATACTGCTTCACTGCCATAATAACCAGTACTTGTCGTATTCCTTTCTCTTTTCTTTTCTCTAAAGGAACAAGAAGATAAACTATAATTATTAGATAAGACGAGATGTATTTGTAGTCCTGTTATGCGATATTTTTATACACTTTATCCTTTATCAAACAGTGACGATAAAAATCGGTCTCGTAGCGCATTATCTCGTACGAATCTCTTTTATAATATGTATATTACGCGCGCGCACATGAATCTATATGTATAAACTGTGTATAAAAATGTCCACAGTTGTTAAAATAAAATGTCAATGAAATGTGCAATTTTTCGCCCGCAATCTCGCGGTTCGGAGGTACTACGATTATAGTAACGGTCGGTCGTCTGTCGGCTTATAGCAGTTTGATCGCTTAGTTTTGTGTTTTCAACATTGTCGGAAGAGTTTTGCTTGCGAATTATGGCCGGGGGAGATGTAGAAAGGAAACTTCATACATTTATCTGGACGAAATATCATTGAAAAATTAATCGAAATGCATATCTCGCGGAACGGTATTGCGTGAACGCCGTGTGAAGTTTGTACGTTCGATACTTGGTCGGTCTTGATTGCCGCGACGTTCAAACAGTCACTAAACGAATCGCAGCGCGGCAGCACGGATTCAAATGGCCGTTTCGCAGTTTTCGCGATTTCGACTCGCCGAAGATGAACCTCGCAGTGCGTGATCCGTGCAGTACGGCAACGCCAAGGGAATAGAAAATGAATTTTGCGTAAGTTTCTTTGCGTAAGAAGACTTAGTCAAGTGGCTACGGAAAGTGAAGATCTTTGGCAAAAGGACTCGTCAGAATATATCGTACATCAGTTGCGCGTCCTATATTTTTGGTTCATTGAGGAAAAATGGATAAGTGATAGAACTGATCTATCATACCGATAAAATAATAGTGCGCTTATAACTTTTGCGTTTCGAGTCGCATATTTCATTCACAAATATCAAGTATAAAACAATTTCTCTGCAACGTACGTAAAGGAGTACATTGCTTAAAGTTAGACCAAGAGTCGAAGTAAAAACAAATAATATGCAAAGCGCGAGAAGAAATCGCTGCATTTTATACGTTTGAAGTGAACATATCAGACATTTCTGTTCGTGATATACATTAATATATCGATATTAGGCTTAATAGCGCTTTATTGATTGTCATAAAATACAGGAAATTGCGACTTTAAATGCAATAAAACTTCTGTAATATTTGCTGGAATTTCTATTTCTATTATCGCAATTGGTGCAATAAAGAGAGAACACAGATCATGTTTTCATTTTATTTATATATGATAAACTCAAAATAAATATTCTTGCTGTCGTTATTAAAATAGATCTTAGCGTTATTTATAATAGTATTATATTTAACTAAATGAATACAACTTTCCTTGTATTTCTATTTGAAAAAAAGAAAAAAATGTCCACGAGAGAGAGAGAGAGAGAGAGAGATTATACATTTTATAAAAGTTGCTGCGTTACAATTTTGTGTATATGTTGTTACATTCAGATGCAATGTACGTACACACGCACATGCATAACCACACACACACACATCACGCGCGCGCGCACATAGAGAGAGAGAGAGAGAGAGAGAGAGAGAGAGAGAGAGAGAGAGAGAGAGAGAGAGAGAGAAAGATTACATATATATATATGTATATTCTACATCTCTCACACATATAAACATTTGAAATTATTTGTGATTTCATGACATAGTATAAATAAGCGTATAAAAAAGAAAAATACTTTGTATCAAATATCTAAACATGCTGTGCTTTCTAAAGCTTTTTAGTTTTATTGTGCCAACATTATTCATAAAAGAGATAACTTTCATCTTGCCAACAGTATTAAAAATACGCGATGAGTTTCAAGTTGGAATGTGTATCGACTGAAAAAAACACAACATTCTGTAGACATAAGATACATATTTCTCTAAACTGCTGGAGTGTAAATCTTATGTTACATGTCGTGTTATTTATTTAAAAAATAACGTTACTTCGGCTGTTCTGACATTACATTTGTTTTCAATATGAATTTGAGATATTTCCCCGAATAGTGCAAATAGAGCTTTCAAATGCAAATGTACTTTTTTATATCACATAAATCCGCGACATGCGAAGGCAGTGCAAATAGAAAAATGCAATCGAGAGCTCAACAAGATAGTAACATTGTCATTTTATACAGTATGCGTGTACTGGAAGATTAACAAATACATATAAACATTACAATTAATAAAGTAGGAGAAGACCAATGTTTTAATATAAACATTTTTATAAGTAAGATTTACCAATGAATACAATATGAATACAAGTACAGCTTTTGAAAGGTTCGTGATGTTGCATGTATAATTCTAACGTCGTATCTTTGGTCGGTATCTCGCAAAAATGGAATCTAATAGTTACAAATCTAGCAGGATTGCACAATATAAGTATACGCAACAAACATTGGCCGCTGAATGCAAGTCTGAATGGATAGCTTCAAAATTTTAGCTGAAAGTAGTGTGTATCGTTCTTTAAACGCAACGTGGGTATAAAAATAATACAACGAGAAAAGGACGCGAGAGTGATAGTATTCTCTTTGCTATAAAAAGTTTCAAGCATATTTTAATCACGTTGGTCAAGAATTGTATAAAAAGACAAAAGATTCTCTTGTTGTTATACAAATCCGGATTGATTCCTCTAATTATTAATGAAAAAATAACTTCTTAGACTTTATATTCGTCGTTTCCTTTAAGATGTATAAAATCTACGCGTTTTTAATCCAGTCTTTCATCTTCTTACATATTTCCATTTTCTCGACCGTTTTACAGTTTTACACACAGAATGTTCTAAAAAGATTTGACTCAAACTGTGAAAACACATTTCACTTATCCTAAACATGTGTGTAACAGTTTCTTATCGATGAATATATTCTTCGCAAGTGAAATATACTTTTGTCCTTCGTTTAAATAATTAAAATTTGTACGAATCTATTTTATCTTACAAACATATTATTCAAGTTTAATCAAACATTCAAGTAACATTCTGTGTTGTCATGTCCTTTAAGAAGAAAAGACTATTCGTTTTAATATATTTTAATGCAGTCTCTTATTCAATGTTCAGCGACATATTCCGTAATCCAGTATCTCACGATGTCGAATAAAGCATCAAATATAGTATCAAGGCCAAAGTTTCAATTATAATGATTTAACTACTTAATATTTTAAAAATAAATGCGACTGAGCATCACAAAATATGCATACAGTACGCAATCCTCATAGATATTTCGGAAAAGTATTATTTGAAAGACACAGATGTATGCTTACCAAGACGGAATAATGTGTCCTTTTACTCTGACACATCAAACCTATTCAGGATACATACCTATTCAGGATCATTCTTATAGTGACGCTTGTCAAAAATTGCAAGTTATACATACATGTACATGTATGTATATGTATCTACACACAACACACACACACACACATACATATACACGTATACATATACCCCGGCCTTAATATTATCGAAATAATACATATAATATATAATATAATACAGCCGATTGTAAAAGTATAACTTTTATCGTTCGCGAATCCGTGAACCTACCTTTGTGAATCTTGAAATACGTAGCCAGTTTTGTGAAACGTAATAAATTACGATATGAAAATTGTATATTATATGTCGCGTTTCGACGGTGGTATTAGATGGTCTGGCAGTTCGGCTGGCAGGTCGTAGCCTTCAAGTTTTACATTGATCAGATGCATAGCTAAGGCGAATTCGTCGGAGTCTAAGAATCCATCTTTATTAATATCAGAAAGTTTCCAAATCTTTCCGAGTACGCTATTGGGCAACTTGGACTTGACCATTTCCGACTTGGCCGCTACAGTCGTATAAAATTGTATAAAATTAATATATCAGATCTGAGAAAGACACCGTGTACGCGTATATATACACGTACACGTGCGCATGCGGTGCATTTGTGCACTTGTGTTTTGTATTTATCATGCTCACCAGCCCCCGTGATCTTTCCGTCTTGTGGTCCGAGCGATTCGAAGATACTGTCGTACTTATATCTCTCTTTATTGACAATCCATTCTGGTTCACCTGCTCCTGCATCAATTCCTTCTCCTCTCTTGTATCCGAATGGGCTGACTTGATCTTCTACACCTTCAAATGCACCACCTATAAGATTAAACCAATGAAATACACGTAGTGAAATTTTGTGAAATTTAAACCGTGATAGACCGCCATATTTGTTCTCTCACAAACGTTCTGCAGCAAACTTTAGCGTACATAGCATCAGCATATATACTATCGGAGGACTGTTTATTTATTAGATCTAATTATAATTTTCAAGTTTCCTTTTTGAGGAACAACTCTGACTATTTATGAAGATTGATATTTTATGACTTTTTTAGAAGTGTTCAAAGAAGCAAAAAAGAAATTTACTCCTTTCTTTTAAGTAATAACATAATTTACTCCATGTTGCAATCACTATACACGATATGGTATATGAAAGAAAGACATAAAAACATTCAAATGTAAATACACAGCAGAAATTATACCTTTAATAAGCGGTTCCGGAACTTTGGTAACTTCTTCGTGTGGTATCATTGCCATAAGTTTCGCGATGTCTTCGGCGAGCATCCTATCCACCACTTCCAATAACTTGGGTTTCAAGGGATTAAATTTACTAAAATCGTGATGCGCTAAGCACTCTTGCATTTTCTTCAGATCTGGGAAATCGCCCGGTGAAATCTGCTGTTCTCTTTGGATTTGATCGTAAATCTGGCCCAGGTTCTTTATCAGTTCTTTCTTCTTGGTATCCTTACCAAATACACTCGGCATATCTTTTCGTAACGCACTTATTATGTACGCGTGCACCTGTAAATCAAGTAACACACGTGCTGTATACTGCGCTTCATGCAGTGAATACACAAAATTTCTCAATGTAGAGAAATGTTCAGAGATTTGTTCATGGATGTGTCTTATTTTGACGTACCTTCGCTAAACGCGCTCTTTTAATTAAGTCGTTTAGTTTTCTTAACGCAGCATTTTTTGGCAGCGATTGCATATCTCTGAACAAGTCCTGTTCTTCATCCTCGAATAATCTGAGAAAAGATTTTCGTACGATTCATATTAAGAGAAAGAATGCATATGCAAGTACAAAGCATAAATGCAATTGATAAAAAAAAAAAAAAAGAAAAAAAAGGATTCAAATTTATTTACCTTCTATTAACGTCGTATCTTAATGGTTGATCCCAAAATGAGCCGATATAAACTCTGGCTACTTCAGGTGTTTGCAACACCTTTCCCAATGACCACATCAACGCACCATATACTCTCATGAGTTGCTGATGGTCTATCATATCAGCTTTATTGAGAACGATTCTAATTTTATCATCGTGTCCGCGTAAGGCTTCGATAGATCTACGAAATTCGTCCGATATATCGAGTTTATGAGCATCGAATAACAATATAATTCTATCTACGCGCTCGGCAAACCATTCTAAAACACCAGTGAAATCGTATCCCCTGTCGACCTAAAGAATATATTTTATATTTAGACATATTATCGTACCATATCTTATCCATATCATATATCGTACATGTGTACGCATACAAGCTGGCATAAAGCTATGAGAGAAAATTACTTACTCGTTGTTTCTCACCGGATAATATACCTGGAGTATCCACTATAGATATACCTTTTAAGACAGGAGAAGCTACCGTCGAACATTGAAATCTATTTAAGAACGCATTGCCAAACTTTGAAAGCGGTCTGAACTGTTTGTTCGGATCTACAACCAAAGCATTTCCAGGAATGACACCCTCCTTCTCATCATACATAACGGCTATAAATCGATCTGTAGTAGGCTCTGGTCCGATTCTAATGCCAGGAAATTCCCTTTCAAGTAGATACTTGATGAATGTAGTTTTGCCAGTGGAATATTGACCGACCAGGAGGATCATGGGTTTTGCATCAAAGTCTGGGTCGTCCAATTGCGGCGAGTGAAAATCGTGAAATTGATAATGTTGCTCCAATGGCAATAACTTGGACTTGTATATCCTCTTGAGTCCATCGGTAACATTTTCAAAGAGGTCTTGCTTGCCATTCTCTTCACGACTCAGCCAACTGAACATGTTAGCTTTCTCTGTAATAAATTATATCTTATAGTATCAAATTATTTCGTTATAAATAATGCTTCATATATGCTTTATATATGGTGCAAGCTCGTGTTAAAAAAAAAATATCTGTATTGCTAGTAACTGACATTGACTTTCAACTATAAATACTAGAAATTGCAGCAGTTGATTTTCTCTTCTTTACGCTCAAATGTTTCCAACTTGCGAAGTTTTATACTTGTTTCACATACGTCCTTTTTCTCTCTTTCTCTCTCTTTCTCCCCCTAGTTCCCTCCCGCCCAGTCGTTCGATTCGGTCAGACAGGGTTAAGTTGACCATGTCGCGAGTTCACTCTTCATTTTCAATTTCACATTTGTGTTTTCGCTAATGCTTCGCAGACAGACGAGATATTATGCGAGAAACCGCTCTCGCTTGAAGAAATTCCAAGAAATTTAACAACTCAATCGTACAACCCTGTCAAAGACAGTGGATACCCTCTCCGGGTTATCACCTTTCATCAAAATCTCTAGAGTCACGTTTGTGAAATTCAAGACGAAGTACTCGATAATATACATACACTAAAGATACAAAGGGCAAAGTGCGATGATGCGGGAAAGCTCACTGGCGATTTAACTTTGATTGAGAGTCATAAGAACACCAACCTTTGTTCGAACTCACCAGTCAAGGCTGAATGGATACGCTCGATGAAGCACGATAGAATAGACGAATGCGAACTAATCCGGGGAAATCCGGGAGGCGATGAAGGCGTAACAAAAATGACAAGATGATACGCCGCCGACGTGACGTATACGTACTAACCGCGACGATCACGACACGCTCCTTCCTTCGTGACACTTCCGGAGGACGTGGTGGTGATGCGATGGTGATGGTAATGGTGGGGTGGTGGCGATGGTGGTAGCGATGGTAGTGGTGGTGGTGGTGATGATGGTGGTGGTAACTAGCGATAGCAGTGGTAATGGTGTAATGGTAGTGCGATGACGATGGCTACTCGAACGGAGCGGTTGCTCGATTTGCTGCCACGATCGTCAACGGTGACGCCAATTGATAGAAAACAGCGCTGCGTTGCGTTGCGTTTTACTATGACGTACAAGTAGTTTGAGAGCACTCGAGAGCAGAGTTGAATACTTTCTCTCTCTCTCTCTCTCTCTCTCTCTCTCTCTCTCTCTCTCTCTCTCTCTCTCTCTCTCTCTCTCTCTCTCTCTCTCTCTCTTTTTCTCTGTCTCTCTCTCTCTCTCTCTCTCTCTCCCTCCCTCCCTCTCTCTCTCTCCCTCTCTCTCTCTCTCTCTCTCTCTCTCTCTCTCTTTCTCTCTCTCTCTCTCAGGCAGAGTTACTGATAAATAAAAAATTGATATGTGTCGTAGAACACCCCTCGGAGAACACTTCCTTCTTAGATCCACACGCGAGAAGGAAGCGTGAAATGGCTTTTGGACAGAAGTTTTATAAACGCCTGGAGTCACACATTGGTTGTGAGAGAGGGAGAGGGAGAGAGAGAGAGAGAGAGAGAGAGAGAGAGAGAGAGAGAGAGAGAGAGAAAGACCGCGATATATAGTCATTCGTGGCGACCGATACTACAGACGGTCCACGGCTGATAAATGACAATTGACAAATAAATGACCAATGCGCAAATGAATGGACAGAATAGAAAATTGGAGATCGGGGGAGAAGGAGAGAAGGGAATAGAGCGCATGATTAGTGATAGTTTTGTGAACCGAATTTTTTGTTAGCCGAATGAACGAATTAAACTATAATGTTAATTACAGTTAAATATGGAAAATAAAATTGTAGAGGATTTGACGAATTGATTGTGAATATATATGCATACATATATTATTTTTCTCATAAAGAGAAAATAATAGCAAGATCAAGATTCAAGATCTTGCGTTATCGTTTTTCCGCGAACATGACCGATATTCCATTAGTCATTGGATGTCATTGGAAGTAGAGAGCGCAAAATCACATCGATGATAGTTTTGATATTTTACGCTCAAGAATGTATGTAGTAGAATGTATGAGGAAGTGTCTTTTTTCGTCTGATGTTTTTCCATTTATTCTCATTATTACCTAATGAGAATAAATGGAAAAACATCAGACGAAAAAAATCTTATACTAAAGTCAAAGATGGACGATCATGTATAAAATTGATTTGTCTCTGTAAATTTTTAATTTTTTATTATATCCCTCGTTAGGCATTCGACCAACGTAAGATAAGAATGGCCCAGTTGCAGCCTTACCCTACACACCCTTCACACGGCGTTCACATTTTTTATCACATTTCTTCGATAGAATAAAATCAAAGCAAGTACGCACGCAATTTTTCATACCGAAGAAAAGCGAATAACAAGATGATGAAGGCGAAACGGGGGCGGTAAATCAAGTCGAAACATTTAGGCATGAAAGATATATCGTATTTTCGCTTTGATTTTATCCTTCTGAAGAAATGTAATTAAAATTTTATGCAACAGCAAAACTTACAGTTTACTTGCGTTTGCCTCACTCATGTAATAATTATCGATTCAGTACAAATTGTACAATACAAGCGTCGTTATTATTAAAACGGTGACTTGGTTTATCGAATGTCTGACAAACATGTAGAAATGTGTGATAAGAAAATTATAGAATATAATAATACACAGAAACAAAATGCAAGAAAACTGAATTCGGAAGAAAGTCCGGGTGTTGTGAATCATTCATACTTCCTCCTGTACGTGCGAATAGTACGTTATGCAATAGCGTTGTAATAGCGAATGACAGTGACATAACGACACAGAAGCGTAATGTTAACAATGTGCGACCATGCCGAGAGACAATCGATAACTGTGACCTTCCTTTGCACAGTGCGCCCGATCGAATTTGCGAGTGTCGAATCGTAAATACGTGGCGATAAATGTAGGCAAAACCACGTCATTTAAATCATCAGGTAGTTAGTCATAGGAAGTGATGAACTTTTATTTATCTTTCATTTTTTGACTAAGATATCGAGAGGTATATATAACGGTAGGGATTTAATTAATCATTAACATAGCGTACGTTCACTGAGTTTTTATTAAAAAAAAAAAAAAGTGAAAAAAGACGTAAGAAAATTGTAAAGGAGGGAGATCGAACCGAGATCAATTGCATGGGTATTTTATTTATATATACTTATTATGAGAATTCAAAATCGCTTCTCTGTCAATTCATTATCCGTGAGATATAAATTGTTCATTCATCAGACTAGATACAATTCGGATACAAGATATAATTCGGAAGGTACATTTCATCAGAAAGTAAAGTGTATCGACGGCGGATGATATGCGATATCTTTTGTCGTTCCATTGAACGCAACAGTTTAATTGGTAATTGTGGGCGCACTATTTGCTGTAACGGACAACACAGTTTGCGCAACAATCGCGCACGGTATTATGCAATGATATGCAGTACGTCCAGTGTCACAGCCGTTGCATAAGTAACTCGGACACATCCCGATTAAACGATTTCGTGTCCATTTATTCTTCTTAACAAGCTCCGCTTAAATTACAACTGATTTGCTAGGATACGCCGCGGACTATAACTATGGCGATATATTATGCACTTGACGGGAGCATTTACAATTTCCCCGAGACATGGAAGGAATGATACGTGGGTGATGCCTTTGGCTGTATTGTCTCGAACAAATTGTTACAAATTAAAAAAAGAAAAGGAAAACTAGCAGGATTATTGGAAGAACTTTGCACAATTTTATTCACAATCATGACAATTTTCATTCCTACTTACTTCCTCTTTGCAATAATAAACAATAAATGTTAAACAATAAACGTTTGCAATATATGGGTTTCACTTTTACTGAGCGATTTCTTTTCCCGGAAAGATTATCTGAGAAGGTGGGTTTCTGGTATTTACTAGTATATATATATATATATATATATATATATATATATAGATGTATCACTTTTTTCTCGTGTGCAAAATTTATTATCTTGTATCAATGTCAATATAGATATTGTCGAAGGTAGCGCTTATCATTTATCAGACCTTACGTAAGATATTAACGGCAAGACCTTATGTTCAGTTGTAACATTTGTATCGTGGAATAAAACCGTTTTGACGGTAATACATCCTGTTCGATCGTTTGCGTCAAAGGCGCCCTCTATGCAAAACTCTTCATAGCGTGTATTCATACCGACGTATGATAAATATATAAACAATTAAATAAAAATATTAAATACCCTTTCAATATCTTGCATTTCCTTATATTTCTTACATTAGCGAAATTTACAGTGCAGGTTTATTAATCAAAGATTTATAAACTTTTTGCCAGCATAACGTTGTCTAACGTTATCGAACTAAGTAAATGACAAAATGTATGAACAATATGTGTTTAAATAGAAAAATGTTTAATGATCTGTTTATTTAATGTTATGTCGGGAAAATCAAAAGGGTAAGTGATACCGATTTCCGCATGTTCCGTTCATGCCACGAAGGCCGCATTACCGCCAGTATTTTCCTAGATATAGTATAAAAATTGATGTATTGTTCAAAAGACAAGAATAAGATAAGTTTATAACAATATTTCCCTAATGAAAGATTCCTGATCAGAGAGAATAAAACTAATATTACAAATTAACGTGTATGCAATGTATCTGCAACATTGTGCTGTAATGTAGAAGATAGAAACGTTAATTCGTCTCTAAGTCTCTGTGCCGTATGGATTCCCTTTGGTCATCGATGGTTCTCGCCAGCCGCCGAATGCCTTCTCGATCTCTTGCGCGACGGCAATCGTCAGATAGTCGCAACCCGGATTAGCAACGATCTACAAAAACGTAAGCGTCAACAGAGTTGTCTTTGTTGATTTGCGTATTTCATAAGATCGAAAGGACCACGGATAAGGGAAGAGATGAACGAGAGGCGCGTTAAAACGTATACAACATTGTCGTCAAGACGTTCCTCGACGACGCGCGTTTCAGATGCTCGTTGTGTTGCATTTTTCTCACTTGAAGTCCAATTGGCAGTTGATTTCTGTCGAAACCCAGCGGGCATTGTGTAACCGGCAGTCCGAGAGCATTGAAGATCATGAGATACGTGAAATTACATGCGTTGTATATAATTTCGTGAGGATAAGGCGCCGACGAGACGAACGATGGATAGATGAGCACACCGTTACTGCCTAGCGTCTCCTAAAAAGGCCATCACTATTATGCGATATTATCACAATGTCGACAAGCAAATCTTTCTTAAATCTATCTCTACGTGATTAAATGATTGGCATTTATTCATGTCGTATTAATCATAAATATTGCGCGCAATTGTTGTGCATTATAATACATTTGGATATTCTAATTAAACACTCGTCAATGTTCGACGCCCACTAAACTTTAACGGATGTATGTTGGTGGAAGGATCGAACAGGGGTAAGGGGTGTATGCAAAGTCTGCACCTCAAATTGCTTCTTTAACTGCGTTTTCTTCTCCATCATGTTGTTATAATACGAACGCGGAAATCGTTCGCCAGTACTCTTCAACAACCCATAAAGTAAGGCAGGATATGTGTACGATGACAGGAAGAAGATATACTTGAGTACTTCGAAAAGCACGTTTTTCGATTTCTGAAAGAGATACAACGCAAGATACAGATTCTTTTGATACAGTCTTTTTCATAATATATTTAATCTTTCATGTATCAAGGGTCTTCAATTAACGTTGTTTATCAAACAAACGGGATTCTCAGAGGACGTCCTCGTTTCTTGGGAGCTTTTAAATTGCTTGATATTGTTGACTCAAATTATATTTTTCGAGTTGTTTAACGTGTGTTTTAGCGACTCGAGCATTGTTAACGACAAATTTTGATGTTGTAATTACAACAGTGCACCGAACATTATAGTTCAATGCCCTCTGGTGTTCTTTAGGGACCCCTTTCAGGGTTTTCATATTAAGGGTTAACAAAGGCACCTACTTTTTCGTCTTCTTGTTACTTACCTTAGGGTTGTCCAAGCGGTTGAACATCGAGTACACATTTCTGAGCCGAAGAAGAATAGTTAAGCACAGTTCGAAAGCCGACTTCATGTTTTCAAAATTTATCTAGGAATGAACAGGAAAGTAAATAAGTATATAGTATTTGTGCGATAATATAGAGATTTTTAGCGACATATTGTGATTGTTTAAAAATGAAATAATTTTTCTTTCCGATACGATATACCATATATGCGAGCTGTTCTCATATTGTTCGTTATTATATATTTTATTACGTATTACTGCGTGTGTTATTGTATTTGTAATAACGAATCAATTTAACATTCTATCGTAATAATAAGTTCAAAGTGATGAAATGCAATCAAGAAATTCGTGTCCATACTTTTTGTACTGTAACACCATGTGTAGTCTCCAGATGTTCAACTAACTTGCGAATTGCATATTTCATGTCGCTATTTGGCGAATTTGTCATAATTGAACCGCTGTCGATCATGTAAAAAAATTTCATATCCTTCAAGTACACCTAGCAAACACGAAAAGAAGAAATTTCAGAAATGTGCACAATTCTTTTAGCCACTTTATACATATAATGCGTATAGATAGGGAATAACAAGGTATGATTTGTGAATAAAAATACGATGGCCTTCAAGCTTTGAAGTTTGGCGTTGAAGGTATGTGTGTGTGTGTGTGTGTGTGTGTGAGAGAGAGAGTTAAGCAACTAAATTCAAGTGACAGTCGATTCTCACTCACACACTTTTGTACAGATGTCTGCGTTCTCACCTTCTTATTGAAACCAATTTTGGCCTCATTGGATTGTGATATCGTTGTCAATAGCAGAGGCAAGTCTATAGCGTATCTGACCATTCCACCAATCGAGAAGAAGGAGGGCCAATTTATGTCAGTCGAGCCAGGTTTATGACCCTTTACCGATACCCAATCTGATGTAATCAAATCACTCGGCGATCATCAAAATCTTATGTCTTATGTTTCTCGACCAACGTCGATTAAACCTTAATCTGAATCTGAAAAGACTCGGATTAAGATTTAATCTGACGTTGGTAGACGTTGAAACATTACTCGTTGCTTCACTCTGCGTTGTGTCGAATGTCACAGCATAATCCTTACTGTATCAACACACGCTTAATATAATAACAGCAGCGTCATAAATACTCTTACTTACCGTGACATCTACATATTTGTACGTATAAGGAAAACAGACAATGAAAAGAGACAATGTTCTACAATAGATCTAGTATTCGTAGTGCAGTTAAAGTTATCAAGGATATATATATTAATGTATATATTAATGTCTAATAAAAATACATATCGAAGAGTAAAACATTCGCGCGTACGTGATCGAAACTGTAAAACGTGCGGGAGCCAATAGCCAATATTATCTGCAAGACCTTTCTTTTAATTTCTGTCAGGTATGACTCCCACCTACCTGTTTCTCCTCCGCTAAATTTAAGTTAAATTTTGTGGAAACAAATTTTGATAGGATTTTGATTCCACGATAAAACTTACCAGGCGAAGGTTTGTGGCCAAAAACACCGCAGAACATCGCCGGGAGCCTGGCTGATCCAGCGATGTCCGAACATAAGCTCAAAACAGAAGCGCCAGCAGCCAAAAGGGCAGCCTAGAATTTAAGCGCGATCCTCTGTTTATCGTCAGGCTCGACAATCGTAAGCTGTTCGAACGAGAGCTTTAGGTTCCGTTAAATTCCTAATAAAGAGTGTAAACCTATCGACCTCTGTGTACGTATATTTGAATATATATCTTCCGTTCTCTACAGAGAGTTCAATATCTTGTCTTTGAAGCAAAAAAAGAAAAATCCAGCGAGCATGAAAGCGCTGGAAGAAAATTTCATCGTTATATTTTTAGTGGCCCCGTTGAACTTTTGCCGATTTCAAATTTGGCTGACAAAGTCGAGCGAGTCAACGAAAACTTTAATCGGACACTCGTTTCTTTTTTCTTTGTGTTGTGATCAGTGAGATCAATGAGACGGGCTCTTTTAGGAAGGAGTCGCCTTTCACAAACCTCGCCACCGGAAGATCCGCCGGGAGTTCTCCGTGTGTCGTAAGGGTTTCTGGTGTCGCCGGTCACTTTGTTAAAGGTGTGCCACCACATGCACAGCTCTGGCGTATTGCTAACTAGAAGAGGGACGCCACCGGCTTCGCGGATCTTCGCTACGGCATCGGCGTCGCGGCTCGCCCTCGACGGAGAGCTCTCTCTTATCCCCACGGAATGACTCATCCCTGAACATTTTTGCTGAATTAGTAAGAGTAAATTTCAGATGAACGGTTAAAATGGGACTATACTTGTCTCTAAAAAAATCTCGAAACAAATGCTACATGTATGTCGCGGCAGAAGAGAATCAGAGTAAGAATAAAAATGCTATGCTATTTATCATCATCATCATCATCATCATTATCATCATTATTATTACGATGTCAGGGTTTTATTTATATTTGTTTTATGTCATTTCCATATATTATTTGGAACACAATCGTAATCTGTTATTTATTTTATTATATTATTGGAATAAAACAGAGCTCCAGTTATTCGTATTGACCTTGGTACTAGCGTTTATTCAGGTAAATTTTCATCGCAGCTATATGCTTATTGCGAAATTATAAGCATCGATCACCTACGATCTATTACATGGCTATTACAAGAATATCGTACGCTTAATATTATTATTAAATATTATCTGTGTGTGTTCACACGGATATGGACAGAGTGTCTTGGATGAAATCTCTAATGAACCTTACAGCTGAAATTTCATTAGCAGAAATTTCCGAAATACTCATATACTCATAAAAGATATATTCACTGTGGCGTACATACATTGCGCTAAGAGTGTTAATGTCTTTACAAGAGACATGTACTTGACATGTCACTTTTTCTAAACTTGTCTATCTTATTCCGCGTTACTTTCAGCGCATTAAAAAGAGGACACGCTTCCGAGTCACTGTGTGTAATTTAAATAGTGCTGACGTGTGCACAACGCTCGGCACATTGAATTGTAAACGATGAGTTACAACACTTGTAACTGCGACTTCTAAGAAGCGCTCATCTCTCATGCGAGAAATCATCGACGGCGAAATGGCCTTCGCTTACGCGTTAAAAAGCGCAAAGTACCAGGACAATATGCGTGCAAACATGCGAAAGCGAAGAGGGGGATTAACGTTAAAAATGTCGTCGACCTTGGTCTCGTACTCGACGAGAAAATCATAAGCGACGAAAATCCAATAATGCAGCGTTAGTGGAAGAAAAAAAACAAAGCTGATGTCTCGCATATTTATGACGCATGTATATGACGGATATTATGCAGTTTGCACAATATATACAGGCTGTCCCATTTTAATATCCCACCCCAAATAACTCTTCAGTATTGAAGTTTCAAGGAAAATGATCTGAATAAAAGTTGTAGGAATTTAAGTGAGCTACCTTATGATGACCTTGACCTCTATTTTCATTAGTAGATTTATATCAGCATAGATTGCACAAAATGCTATTGTGCTATCATGCCAATCTGTACACGATGGATATTGCATTAAATAGGTACAATTATTTCATTTATATTTATATTATATTGTGAATTTTTTTTTTACGACGATCATACAGTCGTATATCGTGAATAATGATAATTCAGCCTTTAATTTGGCGGATCTGGACGATAATATCTCGCTTGTGACGCAAGTTTGCGCTCGTTGGCGACCTCTTTTACGATCACGAAAAATATGAACTATTTATTTCTAAAGAGAAATTTCAGCAATGCATTCGATTACGTTCGACAGCTTACGTTGTTCGCATTAACGTAAACGCGTGTGCAAAAAACTCCGACACTGAATATCGTTCACGAGATAAGCTTGCGAGCGAACTTATATTTGTGTCATAATGAATAATTCCACGCCGACACACCATAAATAAGAGTATTTTTTTAACTTTCGATATGTACGTATATCCTTCCTATATATATACAGGGTGCACGATTTATCTGAAGACATTGAAATATCTCGAGAACTATGCATTGGATAAAAAAAAGTGGTTAATGAAAGTTGTTAGTCTCGAAGGGGGACATCCAATGATACCAAACTCGACCTCCCACCCCACCCCCTGGGGGTGGGGGTTGGGGGCAACTTTGAAATCTTAAATGGAAACCCCCATTTTTTTATTGCAGATACGGATTCTACGCCACAAAATACGTAAATTTTGTCCGAAACTTTTTTTTTGATTCGTGATAGATGGCGCTGTAATCGCAAAAAATTATATTTTCCGCAATTCTCCAGAAATGATCATTGGATTGAGAAATAAAAAATACCTGTTCAATATTTTTAAATCAACAAGTGCCAACAACTCGTGAAAACATGGTAGAACGCATAAGAAACGCTTGCGCTGAAACTCCCGCAGATATATTTCTATCCTGTGTACAGTCATTTGAAAAAAGGATCAATAAGTGTATTGAAGTTGAAGGTAAAAATTTCGAACACTTATTCTAATTAATTGAACAGTGAGAGGCAAGGGGACACACATTAAAAAAGCACCCCGATCTGTGAGAGGCAAGGGGACTCATTAAAAAAGCACCCGAAGGGAACATAAAACTACTACGTCCTCGTCGTTGTTCCTGTGTAACGCTAAAAGTAGTTTCTCGGAAAAATTCAACGCTATCTATCACGAATGAAAAAAATTGTTTCAATAAAAATTTCACGTACAATCTAATTCTGCAATGAAAAATGTGGGTCCCCATTTGAGATTTGAACGTTATCACCCACCCTACCCCGGGAGGATGGGGAGGGGGAATAACTTTTATTATGTTTTTTAAAAATATTGAACAGGTATTTTTTATTTCTCAATCCAATGATCATTTCTGGAGAATTGCGGAAAATATAATTTTTTGCGATTACAGCGCCATCTATCACGAATAAAAAAAAAAGTTTCGGACAAAATTTACGTATTTTGTGGCGTAGAATCCGTATCTGCAATAAAAAATGGGGGTTTCCATTTAAGATTTCAAAGTTGCCCCCAACCCCTACCCCCAGGGGGTGGGGTGGGAGGTCGAGTTTGGTATCATTGGAAGTCCCCCTTCGAGACTAACAACTTTCATTAACCACTTTTTTTTATCCAATGCATAGTTCTCGAGATATTTCAATGTCTTCAGATAAATCGTGCACCCTGTATATATATATATATATATATATATATATATACATCTTTATAATTATAAAACAAATATGTTATTGATCTATATTTATGACTCGGTTCACTTTTGCAATATGTAGAAACAAGTACTAAGAAAGAAGAAGAGCTCTTCGTCTCACCGTTAATTGAAAGCAATCCTGACCTCAACGCGGTGATGTAACTCAATTCATTCAGTCAAGATACTCAATCTTTAGGTAGAGATTACAAAATTATTCTCCAACCAACTTTTATCAAGAGGGAATTTACAGCCTGTATAGAGCGAGTGAGAAGAATGAAAAAGAGATATTTATACACTTCTGGTGTGTTCTTCAAATAAATAAATTTACACGAACGCAAAAATACTTTTGTTAGATGTTTTTGTTAAGCCTCTCTGATGACATGATCCGCGAATACATAATATAGATGGGACGAGCGTGTAACCTATGATCAAGCGATCAAATAACCTACCTCGAACAGCAATACTTTCCTTGACCGTTACGGGTACTCCCAGCAGCGGCTTCTCGCGTGCGATTTTCTCTTCGTCCATCGCCGTCGATTTCAAAAACTCGTCGATCTCGCGTGCCTCTCGAAGGGCCGCTTCGTAACGGTTTTCCACGATCGCGTTGAGCACCGGATTCACCTTTTTGCATCGTTCCACATATGCAACAATTACCTCTTCGCAACGTATCTAACGGGCAAAACAAAATTACTCGCTTCTTTCTATTCCTTATTGAGAGTTACGAGAAGCCGAGCGATTTAACGTAGAACGGAACCCATACTCGTACGTACGTATACAATATACCTCGTCGACTTTTACCAAATTCTCTGATTGAATACGCGAAGAAATATATGTGTGTGCCTTACTTTGATTTGGACTACGTCAAATTTACAACGCGTTATCTCAGACTACAATATATTATCAAAAAGCTCTCTAAAAGATATCTCATTTCTGAACTTGATAACTTATAGAGACGCTTCGAGAAGATGTCAAAATGTTATCTAATACGCCGTTCTTTGAGAGCAGAAAGATATCGAATGAAAATGATGTCTAAAAGATTTCTCAAGACGGATATCTTTAAATTATCTAAAGCAATGGTCGGAATTACTTTCACTTTTCAGGCGATTTTCAGGAGTTTTCTCTCCCACTTACTTCCCCTTATTTCCTCCTCTTCGTTTCAGGGCCGTTGACGTTGTAACATCAACAAGAGGCTCTTATCAATAGCTATAATTACAGTTAATTTTACAGCTATCGGTAATAGAGGAAGATCGATTGACTTCGAAGCTTCGAATCATTCAATTGTACGTTGTTATATTATAATATTCGATTCGTACCATGCTAATTCTCGACAGTGATCCAATGTTGATAGTACACACACACACACACACACACACACACACACACACACACACACACGCACGCACGCACACGCACAATTTTATAATTTTCTAACTTAAAATTGACCAACCAACCAAAGGAAAATTAGCTAACTTTTATCTGAACTTTGTATCGAATGACTAGAAGAATATAAACGGACAGGTCAATGTTGTCAATGTATGTCAATGGCATCTTATAACGAGTCGAAGGTATTGAGTAAGAGAAGAAAGTTTTGTTCGATTTCTCAATCACAGATTTGGCATTATGACATATCCAAGGGAAGGAAATTATTCAACCATACAGTAGCTGCTAATTTAATCTGTGATTCTTATGCACAATTCACAAATCAGCTCATAATTAATATAAAATGATCACCATTGTTGTTTTTATTGTATACGTGATTTGTTGAAAATTGAAATGAGTTTTCCGATTAACTCAGTAATATGTATTCTATTGAAAAATGAATTATGTATTTCTCTCTCTCTTCCTCTCCCCCTTTCTCTCTCTCTCTCTTTCTCTCTCTCTCTCTCTCTCTCTCTCTCTCTCTCTCTATTTCTGTTTGTTTAAATCTCTGGAAATTTAATTACTATGTCGTGCGACACAAACTAAACTCACTTCTTTCCTGCGAATTCTTCGTGCAATTTCCGTTGCTGATATCAACAATATTTGATTATCGATCGGCGGGCATTGTCGTCTCTTCTTCAATGCTCGTAGTTTGAAAAACGGACTGAGTAAACAGTACAGAAGAAATAAGAAACCTTTGCACACAAACTTTACAATCGTCTCTATAATTTCCTGAAGGAATATTATATATTTGTATTGTACTTTCCTAGCTCTATCAGGTAAACATAACATTTCACAGTTTTCGTATAAAAGGACTGTCAGTTTTGTTAGTTGGAAACATTATCAAATTACATTTATGAAAAAAAGAAAATGCAATGAACTTACCATATTAATCGCTTTTTTAGCTTTAATCTTTTCCGTACTATTTTTCTTCCCTTCTTATCGAAGAAGTCTCAGCAGTGTATTATTACTTAGTTTTAACATTAAAATGATGATTTTTATTTTAGAATTAGATGTATTCAGTTCAGAGATTTTGACTTGCCTAAACAAAATGGAAATTTAAATACGAAATCTTAAATTACGATTCTTTGTAATTGTCTACCTAATGTCGATATTTATTATAATGTTGATATTAATTAATTAGGTTGTATCATGTCATAGATTACTATTGATTAATTCAAATTTGTCACACCAATATCACAAATTAGAGCGAATTGAATTTAATCAAAGATTATTGAAGCGAAGTTAAAATTAATCAACCGATAAAATGAAAAATCAATAGTCATCACATACGCGCGCGCATACGCACGCATCTCAATTTCATGTTGATAGTACCTCGATAAAAAAGCTAGCGCTCTACTAACAGTAACTAAAACAGTACTAAAACTAACTCGCCAGTCTAAAGAACAAATCAGACCGTTGTCATTGCGAATCCTCCAATCGATTCTTATTCACAAAATGTTATTCTACTCGAACGAATGTCACGTTTAGACGCGGCCGTCATGACTGATTTGCACTGGTCAAGAAAGAAGTGACTAACCAAAACATGCCCGAGGTAACAACGCGCGCGTGGGGGTAAGCTGTAAAACGCACCTGAAGATGTTTTATTCTTTCCGCATTTGTCGAAATATGCTCTTTGCGCGAGGAATGCATTCCCTTCTTTCTGCGCGAAACATGATTTATTTTTATCTTACACTCTGCCGCGATGTGTTCAATGTACAAAGGTCAAAAGGTAGCATATGCTTTTCTTGTGTGTACATTCATGGATATCGGTCAGATAGTGAATATTTGATGAAGCAATGCATTTATAAATGTGACAGTAAATACGTAGTATAACAGAAAGTGAAACAATAAGTCTGTGCGGGTTACATAAATTTGGGACGGTCAAGGACTATCATGACATACAGAAAGATATAAAGCTGAAGATTGTGATTTTACGACGGTCTGTTTGATCTTAGTTGGATTTTTGCGGCAGTGGTTGAATGTGTCTTTTCATAGAAAAGAAAAATAATGAAATAATTTCTTTAAAAATGAAATGTTTTGAGAGAGAGAGAGAGAGAGAGAGAGAGAGAGAGAGAGAGAGAGAGAGGCCAATTAGAGTGGACACAGCTTGATCGGTATGAATAATTAATTTTATCGCTTCATCAGAGAATTTTTATGCCAGCTTTAATATATTGAGCATAATATTTGTCCTTTGAACTTAATTTTTGGATTCTTTTTTTAACATTAATATTACTCTCCTTTTTCTTTCCTTTATTGTTAATTAGCGTATTTTCAATGTTATAAAACATTTCTCCAGCTGCGGTAATATTTTTTCACACACATATTAATTTACATATATATTATTTTACTTTATACAAAATAATGATGTATTTCTAAGAGCTGCGGTAATAAAATAACCTCCACCCATTCCACATTTTTCTCGTAAATATTAACAATGCGCAAATATTAATATGTCACACATGTTTTAAGATGTTCTCGAAATATGCGTATTGTGTGAAACATTGGATTATATCATAATTACAAAAGGATTGAAGAATACATATATCTTTTGTTTTTATTTTGCATGCATTTTTACATATACCAAAGTCAACATGAAATTAGGACTCGTGTCACCATGACGACGATCGCTTCATTATTAAAAAAAATTGTTTGAGGTGAGACAGTAAAATAACTTATTTACAACAGTCAACTCGTGTTAGTTGTTCAAGCTTACTTTGACGCCTGCGGTCGTAACATCACAGTAGAATGAGGAAGAGAAAAACACGTACGAATGCAATCGAAACGATATTTATTACAGGAAGATTACAAGATTATATTCAGGACTATAAACATTTCAGTTTGTAGTCCCGCGTCGCAATTCTCGCACGGGTTCCCATTAATAATCGTGAAAAATATTATTTACATTGCACAGAGATATCACTAGCGTTACTATCATACGAGCGGACAGTTGATCACTGAAAACTCTCCGCGAAAGGCCGTCCCGAACGAAGAAGAAACACAACTTTCAACACGATCGTCTCTGCCGCTTTGTATGTGACAAAAATAATTGCAAAGAAATTTACAAGATGGTGAAAACGGCGCATCCCTTTAGCAGACAGCATCAAGCTGTCATCTCGTTCGCATTCGCGAACTCGATTCGATCGGCCTGCATATGTGTGTGACCACTGAACTTTATAAACCTCACAGAGACTTTCCCTATTAATGATAAGCGATATCATTTGAATAACTTGCAAAATTGTTTGGTTTTAGTAAATACAAACAGATATTCTTCACGCAAATTCAAATTTAATGTTACAAGGGTCGAGGGTGAGGAACTCACGAGAAAACAAATGTTACCTTCCATCTGTAGCAGTAATCTTTTAATCCAAGAATAAAAGACAAAATTAAAGATGAAAATATTTCTTTTTAAGGGATCATATTACATGTATCGAATGATGGTATCGATTGTAAAAGTTATAAGATTAGCGAATACTTGAGAATTTATTCTTGCAAGTTTCCGATTACCCGCCAATGTTGATTCCTCAATTTTTCGTTAACGATCTAACGATTTCAGGATAATCTTGAAACAAATCGCTGTATAAACTTGTCGATTTGCGACAATTGTACGACCGTGTTGGCCCCACACACACACACACACACACACACACACACACACACACGCACACACGTACACAATATTTTGAGGCACTCGCGCCGCGGAAAGTCATTCGAAGAGAAAAGGGATAGGGAAAATATATGTCTAATGAGGGAACAAGGGATGGCTGAAGAAAAGCGTCGAAACATCACGAGTATAGTGATAATATATGGATCAGCGTTACATCGTTGAGTCATAAGTGTAGGACTAAAAATAGTAATTTGTCATGGTGGTCGAGAATGCCGGGTAGTAACTTGGTAAGCGACTGTCACCCGTCGCGATCATGAACAGGGACTGCTGTTAGTATCCTCAGAGAAAATTACGTTCGTAGAAGCTTCTAACTCTCTCCGTTTTTAATGTTACTCTATGTTTTAAGTACCATATTATCATTACAAGTGTTGTTACCATTATGACTTACGTATCAATTCTAACATATAAATGCGTCACCTGTTTCTCGGCGACGATACCAACATTATTAAAGTCGATACCTTTTTACGTCCCTTTCGTTAATTATTATCTTAATCATATCATTATAATAAAATACGCCGATACGTACACACAGTGTGTGTGGTGTGTGTGTGTGTGTGCGCGCGCGTGCACGTACGCATTACGTATACATGTAAATTTGTAATACTGAAAATTAAAATCGCTGTTCCCAATATTTTCAACGAAGAAAAATTAACTCTAAAAATAAAGCTCAGAGAACATAGTAAAAATCAATTGCGCCAATTGGGATATTTGGTATGTATACATACGCGTACGCGCGCGCGCGCGTTATACGTATACGAGATTTGCGTATACGGAATCGAATTCCAATGTCTACTGCAACGAAAAAAATATGATTCCCTTTTCAATGACTTTCGAAACTTTTAGAGCTTTTCTACAGACTTATGTTATCGTATGCACTAACGCGTGATGTGTTGAAAGAGATGACGTTCTATCAGGCAAACGATCTTTGAATTCCTATATCAGATTGATGTGTAAGAAATTAAGGATTATTGATTGTAAATTAAAATTTGCCAATCAGGACAGAGTCAAGATTGAAATTGAGATTGTTCTTCCGTCTAAAGAAATAAACTGAAATGTTCACGAAACGTCCGTGGAAACTTTGTGGAAATACATCCACGAAGGACGTGGCATTAATTTGAAAGCAAAACCGAGCACTGATTGAAATTAATGGATTCGTCGCATCTTAATGAGAAATTCTTAATTTTTAATACTTAATCTGATATATGTTCTAGTTATCTCATACCATTTGTGATGAACGTGTTGCCCTGTGTAAGTGATTGATCGGCGATCATGGTGGATCAATTAATTGTACTTAAAATTTGCACAGTTTCACAACGAGCAGTTATGTTCAAACAGAAGTTCATTTAGTTTCAATCAAGTACCGATTACAAAATATTCTAAGATATTAAATATTGCGATACAAACGTTATATATGATGCAGTGGAGATGCTTTTTGACCGATGAGGCATGAAATCGATTGGATACAATAAAACGCGAATCGTCAAAGATAAATATACGTGCATCTCGTGTCACGCGACTAATTAGTGAATTTTATGAAACACATCTTGTCGCGTGACGGTTTCTTTTCTTCGTATAAATTACGTATAAATTATATAAAAAACGCAAAATATATCGCACAATGCAGATAGTTCGCTATTGATAAAAGGGGTTCGAAAAGTGAGGACTATTGGACTCTCTCCTCTTTCTCTATGAAGAGACAAAATAGATACAAAAATGCTAGTCGTATAAATAAGTCTACAAGCGCTTACAGGGTGATACCTTAAGGTAATGTAATAGCGTTGCATTAATTCTACTCTTTTAACGGTTCTAAATAATCAACAATCACTGCACTTGTTTGATAAAGAATACGATTTGCTAATACGAAACGATAGGAAAAAGCATCGTTTTATATTTATCCTTGGATAAAATGATAACTATACGTCGTTCACACGATATGCTGTTATATTCGCACATAGCCGCACGAAACAACAGTATTCTCTCTATATATAATAGCGACATATTTTTACATCTAGTAATAGCGACAGTAATAATAATAATAATAATAATAATAATAATAATAATAATAATAACAACAACAAAACTATAAAACCGAGCATCTCACGGATAGTCTTTCTTGCGTTCGCTTAAAAGAACAAGAAACATTCTTTTCCCACGTCCCAGCCGATGCTTTGTACTGACACACATAGTTAAAACGATTCGACTTGATTGTTCTCGATTTCTATCTCTTTCTCTATCGTATGTATCGGCATTATTAGTAATAAGATGCAATAAATTACGAAACGTGTTTGGACCGCTCGAAAGTACATTCTCGGAATCGCGACGAAAACACAAGCAAATGCTAGGTTGGACATATTGTCTCACGAAGAGCATCACCATCGTTTGTTATTTTCGTTGACCATTCGACACTCAACTCGCAAGATGTAGCTGTGTGCTTTATACAACTCGCAAGATGTAGCTGTGTGCTTTATACAACTCGCAAGATGTAGCTGTGTAATTATATAAAATACATCAATGCGCCAACAAAATGAGGTTCCAAAAGCAAACGTTGCAGGCATCTATTATCAGTCACTTGTTCCCAAAACGAGGCGGACAGTCAGTGCACCTCGCTGCCGTTTCTTATTCCGAGACAAATTGTTGCGGTAGCGATTAATGGATCGGCGGTTAAATAATGCGATTACACGGTGCAAAGTCAGCGAAGACAACACGGTTGAGATTCTTTGGAGAAGTTTCGGGATGGCGAGTGGCTCGGTGGAGGTGAGCCTCATCGCGCATCTTTCGCCGTCAGTTTCTCTATTAATTCTTGTAGCGGTGCCAGTTCCCTTCTTTCGATGAGATTAAACTCCTGTAACGGTACATGCGATGCGCGATGTTAGATGAACAAAAGTGAACTTATCACTACCGAAGTATCGCGTGATTGAAATTTTTCTCGGTTTTTAATTATCCGCTTATTCACGGGCAATATTTCTTTCGGAAAGAAGGAAAAACGTAAATTGTAAAAAAGAACATCGAGAACATAATATTGAAATAACAACGAATTGATACAATGTTTCAAATGTTTGTTTGTTTCTTCTCCGTATGCAAAATTTAGGGAAAGTGCTTCGGTCGATCAGTGAACTTTGGCTGTCAGCAATGTAAAACAAAATGTCACCGGTACTCTTTGGAATTTTTTAGAGTGACATAGTATCACTGAAAAAATGGAGTATATCATATATCTAAATTTCTGAAAATTGAATCTGATGTCAGTTCGTCGTCGCAGAACACGAAATTCAATCAGTCGGATCGAATCCATCTTCGTACATGTAGTCATTAATAATTCAATCAACAAGAGGCAGGTACGTTGACTCCTTTCAAGCGAGATCCTACTCAAAGAATCCATTCACGTGCGCATTAAAGCGAGTACCGATACGTAGCAAGTCATATCATCATCGCCTTTTCTCACTGTTCATTCGTTCTTATTTAATTGAATATGTTTCGCTAATTTTGTAACATACAGGCGCGGTTGTATACCTGAACGAAGAATATGAAATGTTTGAACGAAGTGTTCAAATGCGCCTCTTCTCCAAGCTGTACAACCTCGGTGAAGTGTTGATGATAGATGTGGGCGTATACTCTGAATAACCGTTTCAGTATGGTCTTTGCGATCGACAGGAAATTTTTGGGGAAAGGAACTCCTACAAGAGAGAACAATCGGCGCGTAGCACTCGCAATTGTTGAAAAACTAATCGACAATAGAGGCGAGAGAACGTGGAGAAAGATAATTACCAATTTTCGATGGAAACAGTGTTTCATCATCCAATTGATCTTGCACCCAGGTCATTAAATAGTCTATATATTTGGGTGCTGAGCATTTAATCGGCTTTTTCACCGTATGACCATCGGCCCAATGGTACTCATACTTTGGACCTGCTGACATGATGGGACAGCTCTCCTCTGTACAAAATTCTGTGATGGTGCCGTACAGCATGTTAATTTGATTGAAGAAATCAACGGCTGAAAATGGTGACAAGTTAGAACGAGTGAACAGAGGTCCAATCCAATTGTCATCAACGTGTTAATACAACGTGAAGTACAACAACTCACTATTAACAGCAACCCATTCGTTCAAATCCTCTCCTTCAGGCAGCATAACCGCGAGCCGCAAATTTCCGGAACCCAGTGTGGCAGCCGCGTGTTTCATCAGATCATACTGATGAGTGCCTTCCGGAATATTCTTCTTAGGTTTGAAGGTCTTGGAAGACCTGCTTCCACTTGAGAAAATAGAAAAGGAAAGGTCGTTACAAAATCATAATGTGCGGCTAGGATCTCTCGGAAAGTTTGGTAACACAGATTCACTTTTACGACACGGACGAATGATCCAAAGCACGGTTGAGAAAAAAAATTTATTCAGGTATACACGTACTAAACAGCGAGGCAAGGCAAGGCGAAGCGAGGTAGTACTAGATGAAGTGAGGTGAGGCATGGTGAGACGAGACAAGATGAGACGAAGCGAGGAGAGAAGAGGAAAGGAGAGGAGAGGAGAGGAGAGGAGAGGAGAGGAGAGGAGAGGAGAGGAGAGGAGAGGAGAGGAGAGGAGAGGAGAGGAGAGGAGAGGAGAGGAGAGGAGAGGAGAGGAGAGGAGAGGAGAGGAGAGGAGAGGAGACGCGACGCGACGCGACGCGACGCTCAGCTGATCACGATTACGTCGTACACTGATACACAGACACTGATGCACACCACGCAGGAAGATGGAGAGAGCAATGTTGCTTTGTCGCGAACGTCAAAACGAACGAACAAGTGACGCGATGCGGTCAACGTCGTGCCAATCTCGATCGTATCTGTGAAAACTTCCTTGCGATGACGACGACGACGAAAAGTGAAACGAGGCGCGGCCGTCGCCGAGACGGATGATTCATAGATTGCGCGTCGTCGAACGGTAATTGTCAGATTCATTCGTAGGAATAACATGAATCCAACAAGAAAATGTAGAAAAGTAAATTAGTTGGATAGCAACCTATTTTTATTTCTGTTCGATCAATCGTAACAATTCCTTCATAGACCGAATTTATCGTCCTCGACGTGAATGATGTACATAGTTATTAAATTAGATATCGAGAGAAAGACAGGAGGGGGAGGATGTGGGAGAAAAAAATTAATTCTCACAAAGAAGCACAACGGCTTTCGGCAAAGAAAAAATCTTCTCCATAACCGTTGTTCCCTGTCGCGAGTCGCAACAGCGACGAGAAATTCCCGAAGGACATCGCGACGAATCTGATTCTGTCATGTCTATATGCCTCCTCGACGGTGTATCGATTGAGCGAGCGAGCGAGCGAACGAGCGGTGATTCGACGACGATGACAGGGAAAAAATGGCAAAGTGAAAAAGTACTCACAATAGGAAGCTCATCGTAGTAGGTCCGTAGTCGTAGTTTTGCTGGCTAGGTTAATCGTCTCTACTTCGTCAAGTAGCTCCGATGAGCGACTGTCCGTTCGCTAGTGTGGTCACTGCGCGCGTCCTCGCTCGGTCGCTACGAGGAAGAGCTTGCAACGACGGATGTAAATGACGTCGTCAACAAGAACGACAGCGCGATAAAGACGTTGGCGACGACGCGTTGATCGGCCTACAGTACTTAAACGGGTGCGCAATGAATTCCTCTTCTCGAGGTACCCTCTCTTCTCTTCACTCCTATGTGATCAAGAGTTCCGAAAACGACGACAACTTACCGTTGCACCTACACTCCCCTCCGTTTGTTCGTGGTCCACTGTTGTTAGTTTCACTCGCAGTTATCCGCTTTCTCTCTCTCTCTCTCTCTCTCTCTCTCTCTCTCTCTCTCTCTCTCTCTCTCTCCTTTTCTCACTAACCCCATGTTTCTATCTCTATTCCTCGTTTCGGGACGTCATGTAAACTCGGTTGACTATCGACATGGTACGTCGCCATCGCGGGACAGAAATGGCGAAGTAATACGATTGGTGTTTCCTACTTGCATGATGTGCGAGTCGTTTCACTGGTTACGGGTGCGTTCTGATATTCACCGTCAATACTAAAACTCTACAGTATACGTAACACGAAATATAGATTTTCAGTACTGGCAATAAATATCGGAACATCGGCAGTTTACCTGTTATCTTAAAAATAGAAAATAATGATGGCGCTCAGCAAAGCCAGCGGCATACGAAAATCCATCCATCATCGGAAATGCACCAATCAGAACACAATATTTTCATCCAGCAAGCGATCCAGCACGAAAACAAGTACCGTGTGCCGCTGGCTTAAGACACGGGTGTGTATCAATTGAACGCAGCATATCAGGATATCAATCATGATGGGCCTTCTACAATAAGCTATTAGTCATAAGTTGTAATCAAATTGACCAACCACAGTCGATTATTTTTGAAATAATTTGCTTATAGCTTATGACTAATTGCTTATTGTAGATGGCCTCTGAATCTTCCTTTAATGTGAACTCGTGAAAAGTGAAAATTTTCTAATGCAAGAGCATATGGAAATGTTCACTTTTCACGAGTTTGTGCTAGAGGAAAAGGTTCATGATCGATACCGTGGACAGAAAGTAAACGATTGGTTATATTTGGTAATACACTAGAGAAAGCTTCGCACCGGTTGGTTGTGTCCAATCCTTTGACTATATAATATATGGACTGCTAGCAGCCTACTTTCTTTTGCAACAAGCGCGTGTTAACATCACCTCGAGCTCCTTCATTACCAAAGACTGTCAGCCCTGAGTAAATTTTCGTATTGACCGAAGGGGCCCCAAGGGGGCCCGGAGGTAATTAAAAAGCGATGATAATACCGACTGCTTTAGCTACGCACAGATAATACATCTAGCAACTATTGTTCGTGCGCGGTGAGGGAAAAGACACGCGCCGCTATTCGTGTTTTATCTCGTCCCGCTTCTAAACTCCTGCATACCGTCGATAATTGCTGGATTGACTAGTCCGCGCTGCGGCCCGAGCTAAGGGCTGTAAGTAGAGAAACGGGACAAGATAAGGTCCTCTCATCCATTTCACATGGTTTGGCTCGAAAATGGTGGCGACCGTGGCTCAGCTGATTAACCACATACTGGCCGTTTTCCAGTTATGACATGCTTTACACTGTGCTACACGCTGTAAAGTATTTGTTGGAACGCAATATAGTTTCTTTGCGTAACACTAGAGTGCATTACGGTTTGTCATTCTTATTTTTATGAGTATCTTACGGATCTATATAATAAGTATATAATTCTAAAACAATGAAAGAAATAAGTACTTTTAAAAAAATCCATAACATTATATTGCTTTACATACAAATAGTTCTGAAAGGAAGTAGAAAGAGGATTATATATAAAAAAAATTACTTTAACAAGATATGTAAATAAAAAAAGTCCTAATTAGTTTCTTTATATTTTCAATTTTCTGTATTTTCCGTTTTAACTATATCTTATATCTTCAACATTCGTTACAGATTCCATTATGTTTTTTCGTATATATCAATATAATATAAAAATACCTATAACAATATATACAGGGTGTTACATTTTAAAGTCCCACCCCAAATAATTCTTCAATAGTGAAGTTTGAATGAAAATGATTTCAATAAAAGTTGTAGGGATTTAAGTGAGTTACCTTATGATTATCATGACTTTCATCTCGACCTCTATTTTCAAGGTCATGTGAAGGTCAAACTGCATTTTTCAAATGGGAACCCTTATCATTTATTACAATGTTTTCTTCTACTAGTTAATGTGAACAACTTTGTCTAAAATATTTTTTTATTTGCTTAATATTTCTTGACATATTTGAGGAAAACATGATAACATTTTCAATATTTAACTTACGATATCTCGCTAACTGTTTGTCAGAAGAAAAAGTGCTACTAGACTTTCTTGCTTTACTTAGTCTCAAGAATACATTGTTACAATGGCGCCCTGATTTTTGTTAATCAAAATGAATTTGAAATTCCAAAATCATCAAAATGAATTTGAAAATTCAAAATCATCAAATTTACGGTGAGAATAGGGTTGATACAGGACTATATAGTTGCAAAAAGCAGGCCCGTATCTCTAGCCGTTTAGGAGATATCGAAGCTTAAAGTTTTCCAAATGGTGCTGTTGATATTTCCGCCTCTACTGGGAATTGAGAGTCGAAATTTAAGGTGAATGTAGGGTTTTTACAGGACTACATATTGGAGAAAAAAAAACAGGCCTCTATATCCAGCCGTTTAGCAGATATCGAAGGTTAAAGTTTTCCAACTTGTACCGTTGATATCTCCGCTTCTGCTGGGAATTGAGAGTCGAAATTTATGGTGAGAATAGTGTTTTTACAGGACTACATTTTGGCAAAAAAAAAAACAGGCCTGTATCTCTAGCCTCTAATTTAGGAGATATCGAAGATTAAAGCTTTCCAACAATTCTCCGTTGATATCTTCGCTTCTACTGGGAGTAGAGAGTCGCCATTTACGGCAAAATGTAGGATTTTGAGAGGACTTTAAATTGGTGCCAGAACCAGGCCTGTATCTCTAACCGTTTAGGAGATATCGAAGGTTAAAGTTTTCCAACATTTCTCCATTGATATCTCCGCTTCTACTGGGAGTAGAGAGTCGTCCATGTAGTCGAAAATGTAGAGTTTTGAGAGGACTTTAATTTGGTGCCAGAACCAGGCCAGTATCTCTAACCGTTTAGGAGATATCGAAGGTTAAAGTTTTCCAACCTTTCTGCGTTGATATCTCCGCTTCTACTGGGAGTAGAGAGTCGCCACTTACGGCAAAATGTAGGGTTTTGAGAGGACTTTAATTTGGTGCTAGAACCAGGCCTGTATCTCTAACCGTTTGGGAGATATCGAAGTTTAAAGTTTTCCAGCCTTTCTCCATCGATATCCAGCCTTCCTCCGTCGATATCTCCGCTTCTGCTGGGAGTAGAGAGTCGTCCATGTAGTCGAAAATGTAGGGTTTTGAAATGTAGGGTTTTGAAAGGACTTTAATTTGGTGCCAGAACCAGGCCTGTATCTCTAACCGTTTAGGAGATATCGAAGGTTAAAGTTTTCCAACCTTTCTGCGTTGATATCTCCGCTTCTACTGGGAGTAGAGAGTCGCCACTTACGGCAAAATGTAGGGTTTTGACAGGACTTTAATTTGGTGCCAGAACCAGGCCTGTATCTCTAACCGTTTAGGAGATATCGAAGTATAAAGTTTTCCAGCCTTTCTCCGTCGATATCCAGCCTTCCTCCATCGATATCTCCGCTTCTGCTGGGAGTAGAGAGTCGTCCATGTAGTCGAAAATGTAGGGTTTTGAAATGTAGGGTTTTGAAAGGACTTTAATTTGGTGCCAGAACCAGGCCTGTATCTCTAACCGTTTAGGAGATATCGAAGGTTAAAGTTTTCCAACCTTTCTGCGTTGATATCTCCGCTTCTACTGGGAGAAGAGAGTCGCCACTTACGACAAAATGTAGGGTTTTGAGAGGACTTTAATGTGGTGCCAGAACCAGGCCTGTATTTCTAACCGTTTAGGAGATATCGAAGTTTAAAGTTTTCCAGCCTTTCTCCGTCGATATCCAGCCTTCCTCCGTCGATATCTCCGCTTCTGCTGGGAGTAGAGAGTCGTCCATGGAGTCGAAAACGTAGGGTTTTGAAATGTAGGGTTTTGAAAGGACTTTAATTTGGTCCCAGAACCAGGCCTGTATCTCTAACCGTTTAGGAGATATCGAAGGTTAAAGTTTTCCAACCTTTCTGCGTTGATATCTCCGCTTCTACTGGGAGTAGAGAGTCGCCACTTACGGCAAAATGTAGGGTTTTGAGAGGACTTTAATTTGGTGCCAGAACCAGTCCTGTATCTCTAACCGTTTAGGAGATATCGAAGGTTAAAGTTTTCCAAGCTTTCTCCGTCGATATCTCCGCTTCTACTGGGAGTAGAGAGTCGTCACTTATGGCAAAATGTTGGGTTTTGAGAGGACTTTAATTTGGTGCCAGAACCAGGCCTGTATCTCTAACCGTTTAGGAGATATCGAAGGTTAAAGTTTTTCAACCTTTCTCCGTTGATATCTCCGCTTCTAGTGGGAGCAGAGTGTCGTCACTTACGGCAAAATGTAGGTTTTTGATTGGACCTTAATTTGGTGCCAGAAATAGGCCTGTATCTCTAACCGTTTAGGAGATATCGGAGATTAAAATTTTTCAACTTGTACCGTTGATATCTCCGCTTCTATTGTGAATTGAGTGTCGAGGTTTAGGGCAAAAGCGTGTACCTGTTTTTTGTGTCGTTTATGAGATACCGAAGATTACATGTTTAAATTTAAATAAATTTTAATTTAATTCTTTAATTTTAATGTTGATATCTTCGCTTCTACATGGAGTTGGAAGTCGATGTTTATGGTGTGAATATGGTTAATAAAGGACTATATTGTGGCGAAAGCGCGTTCCTAGGTTTTGAGCCGTTTCCGCGAAGAAACTGGTCGGAGGACGTTCTCAGCCGTGGTGGAATTTGACGTTCGCGTTCGCAAGGGCCTAATATTTTACTCGCGAAGGGACGTCATCGTCCTTCTTTTCACAACGGTGTCGGATGTTTAGCTCCTTTCTTCCTAATTTTCTGCGACAACAAGACCGCGTCGGGGCCCTAACGGGGCATGTTCGCTTATAACTAGCGTTTATCTGAAGAGCGCTTCTCGGGAATATTCTGCTCGAAGGGTTAGTCCGCGATAGAAAGTTTCCTGCGATCGGAGACCGCTTTAGTTTA